GTTGGAGGCCATCGCTATTAGGTTGGAGGCCATCGTGAGTACGTTGGAGGCCATCGCCATTAGGTTGGAGGCCATCGTGCGTACGTTGGAGGCCATCGCTATTAGGAAGGGAACAATATAGACGGTGACATTTTTGCTTCGCTGTCGCTGAGATTCGGCTTAGTCTGCGAGTGCTGTGCTGCTGTGCCGTGGTGCCTCGCCTCAGTCCAGGAAGTTGCAAGACACAAACATGAACAGCTTGAAACAGGATCAAAGAATGAACAATAAGGACAAAGAAAGAAAAGAGAGAACGGTTTAAGCTTTGAATTGGTCTAAATCAAAAAGAGAACATGCGAAACGGCAACCGGATGAAACTTTCTTTGACATCGCAGTGTGGACGTGTTTCAACATTCCACTTTGCCCTGATCACTTGTTTTTGCCTTTGCTGAGGTAAGCGGATCATTTTCAAGTCTCTGTGTCCCACAGACCGAGCTGGACCCTAAGAGACTGCTTAAGAGGTGTAAATGTGAGCGAAGCCAAAGGTTTGGACAAGTTTGTCTCCAATTCCTGTGATGGAGGACGTCATCAATGAAATATTATATCGCTACTAGGTTGGAGGCCATCGCCTCGTTTTTTGATGCTGTGGGCTACATAGGCGCTATATCTCCAAGGTCATGCGGAGTAGCCGAGACCGTGAGGTAGAGCCAATACCTGGAATGAGGACCTCAGTTGAGCCACCCTCAAAATCATAGCGTTAAGGTTTTATGTAAAATTGATCATTTTTGCTGAGATCTTGCAGAATCTTGCACATTCCTTGGAAAACGAAGCCGGGAAAACCAAAAACCGAAGCCTCTTGGTGGGATGTTTGCATGTGTATCCTCTTGAAGTGCATGAAATGTGGTGTCTCAAAACGAAGCCCCAAACGAAGCCAAAATCCACGAAAAAGTGTCGTTTGTAGACCTGCCCCGAATGCCCTGTACTGTGATAAGTTCTTTTGCTGTACTTCACATTGTAAAGGCCTGGTGAACAAACAGAGCGTAGCCGTTGCCTGGTGCACTCACTCAGTTGGATTGCAACCCCAAAGTAGCCTTTGTATTGGCCAAAGCCGACCGCCCCAGGAGGCGTGCTGGAAGTTGTCCGCCACATGGCAGAACGCCGCCAGGCCACTGCGCCAGACGCGACGAAGAAGGAACAGAGAACAGAGAAGAGCGAATGGCCTTTTGCTCCTAGTAGCGATGCCCTTTGCTACTAGTAGCGTTCTTGCTCCTAGTAGTAAGGCCAGGAGCCCCTAGTAGCGTCCTTGCTCCTAGCGTTGCCCTTCGCTACTAGTAGATACTTGCACCTAATGTAACACAGATGCGCCTTCTGGCACATGTGGAGTGGATGATCGGAAGCAGAAGGCAAACTACCTTTGACGTTTTTGATCGGAGCAAGACTGGTAGAGTATTTTTTACAGAAGGCGTGGCCTGTTGAACTGTTCGCTGAAACGTGTTCGCCTTGACTTCGGATTGAAGCTTCAAACACTCGTCGGGCTTGAGGCCCAACAATCAGCTCTGCTGCGAGACATGCCATTCGTAGTGGCCTGGTAGCTCCGGGGCTTGAGCCCAAGCGGTGGTGAAGTCAACTATCATCAGGTTGAATTCAATTCTTCAACCCTGACCTACTAGTGATGGCCTCCAACCTAGTAGCGATGGCCTCCCCTTGGAAAAAACAGGACTGGCAAGCTGGACTGCACAGGTCTCAGTTCCGTGGAACTGACCTTGGGGCTCAGAGTAGCGTGTGGCCCCTGGCCACAACCCCAGCATTGGTTCTGCAGACAACCTTGCAGAAGAGCTAGCTTCGCTACTAGATTACTAGATGCTAGTATCAAGGGCATCGCTACTAGTAGTTTTCTGATTAAATTTTACCCTTAGCTGGACTCATCTCCAGGCAGCCGGCTTGGGGAGCAACATCACAGCTCGTATTATCAGCACAGGCACGTTGCTGTTGTTTGTGGTGGTGATGGTGGTGACGACAGTGCTTCATTAATGATTAAAGGATATTAAAGGGATTTACAGGGTATATTTGAAGCGCAAGTTGCGCAACAGAGATCCATTTGGGTGTTGTGTGTGTGTGTTTGCAGATCGGGGCAACCTGGACTTGAGCAATCGCCGGAGACTGAGGGAGCTTGTGAAGTATCGTATAATCTATAATGTGTACATATAAGATGTACAGTGTTTGAGAAGCAAGAAGCAAAGAGACAAACGGAAGAAAGAACCAGGACATGCATGACGTTTAATTGTCTAAAGAAGAAAAGGAAAACAACCGAGAAAGAAACAAAAGCATGAACAGAACGTTGCAGATACCTTTCAGAAACGGCATGTTTTGGATTCTGAGTGTCAGGTCCAGCTGGTGTCCCCGGAACTTTGCAGCTCACCGCCGTGGATCTCAGACCTAAGGGCTCACAGTCATGTTCCTCATGTTACCAACCCATCAAAAGCATTCTTCTAAAAGCCATGGCCTCCAACCTACTAGCCATGGCCATCAAAAAGCGGCTAGGGTCATTTAATTGCTGTTTTGATCCTGCGAAGGGCTGATTCAATTTGCCTGCCTCGGAGTCGCTACCTAGTAGCGTCCTTGCTCCTCGTAGCGATGCCAGGAGCCCCTAGTAGCGATGCCCTTTGCTCCTAGTAGCTTCTTGTTACTAGTAGTAAGGCCAGGCGCGCCCCGAGTAGCGTCCTTGCTCCATTCGTAGCGGTCCGCTAAAATGCTCGCGATGCAGGTGTTGGTCCCTGTCTTGCTGAATGCGCCGCGACGCACCCAAGAAGATGTGGCAGGCGGTCCTCGGGCCACAGCGTCATCGTCGGTGGTTCGGAATCTCGTTTTCTTGCAAAGAACAAACGAAAGAGAAAAACACAGATTTGAAGAGACGCAAAAACAGTCTAAAGACACCAGCAATATCTCGGACCAGCACATTAAAGCAAAGGAATCTATTCTTGCAAAGGAATACTACTAGTAAGGCACTTGTTCCTAGTAGCAAACATTGTTACTACTAGTAAGGCACTTGTTACTACTAGCGTGGCACTTGTTCCTAGTAGCTTCCTTTTTGGTTCCTTTGACCATTGTCCAGTGTGGCTTGATAGTCCGTCGTGAAGTCCCTGAAAGTCTTCGAACTGTCAGGCATAGGAACCACATGGACCCTGGGAGATGCAGAGGTGTGGGCATTTTGGCAGACTGAGACACATCACAGAATTCTCTGAGTGCAAACTGACCAATTTCGAACCAAGACATTTTTTCAGTCTTTTGAACCAAGACATACCTGAGATTGCCGGCAGTTTCACAGTTTTCAGTTCCTGGTCACAGTTACATGAAAAGACGCCTCACAGCCTGACCAGATCTCTGTGCAACCTGCAATCCTCTCCAAGCTTAAGAGTCTTGGCGTGTTTTTGAGCCATTTAGGGTGGACGCTACTACTCCTGGCATCGCTATTAGGAGCAAGAACGCTGTGGATTTAGGGCCGTTATTGACAGTGGAGAAGGGGTTGGAGCAGGCGACTTCTCCACCAAGGATCGCCCAAGATGAGTCCGAAGGCGATCGTCACTGTGAGGCTCAAAAAAGCCATCGCTGATTTTGCTGTTTACTTGTGACCAACAAGGGCATTTACAACAGAATACCGATTGAGATGACGTTGGGGAGCTCAAAGGACACACAAGTCCGGCAGGTGCCCTCCTCAAGCAGTCTTTGTGATAGCTGCGGAATCTGCCTGCAACCTTTTCAACCAGGCAAGGTTCAACTTAGTGCTTGGAGTGAGAGCAGCAGATGCAAATTACAATATATATATATATGTGGTACCCCCCCTGAGATGGACACTTCATGGTGTTTCCAACACTTTTCAAACCCAATGCAATGATCCAATGTACATCTGCTTGCCTCAATGCAACCAAACATCTGCTTGCCTCAATGCTACCAAACACTTGCTTGGCTCAACGCAACCAAAACAGTGTCCGGGCATCGAATTTCATGTTCTTTACTTAGACAAATTCAGACTTGGGGTTTCAGACTTGAGATTCTCAAGTCTGAGCAGCTCATCCACGGATCCAAGACCCAAGATCCAAGATTTCAGACAACTCTTGTCCAGAAACCTTGGATCCATGGATCCAAGATCCAAGATTTCAGAAAACTCTTGTCCAGAAATCTTGGATCCATGGATCCAAGATCCAAGACCCAAGATTCAGAAAACTCTTGTCCAGAAATCTTGGATCCATGGATCCAAGATCCAAGATTTCTGAAAACTCTTGTCCAGAAATCTTGGATCCATCCAGAAATCTTGGATCCATCCAGAAATCTTGGACCCATCCATGGATCCAAGATTTCTGGACAAGAGTTTTCAGAAATCTTGGATCTTGGATCTTGGATCCATGGATCCAAGATTTCTGGACAAGAGTTTTCTGAAATCCTGGATCTTGGATCTTGGATCCGTGGATGAGCTGTTCAGACTTGAGAATCTCAAGTCTGAAATCCCAAGTCTAAATTTGTCTAAGTACAGAGCATCCTTTGTCTCCAAACTTCCATGTGTTTATGACCGCAGCAACCTGCTCGAACGTGCTTCAACTGTCTCTTCAACTGTCTGTCTTGACACTATGGCCATTCCTGTGAGCGGCAGCGTCACTTTGAACGGCAGTCAAGCTGTCGTGGTGCTCGACGTCGGCGCTCAGAACGCACCAACCACACCGGGAGCTCCTTTGCAGATCCTGCTGCAGAAAATTATGGACGGACAAATGCCTGTCCATGAATCAAGGCTACCCGTCCTCAAGAAGCATTTGGCGGCCATGGTCTGCAATGTGCAGCGTGGTCTCAAACTAGCTCCTGTGGGGCTACTTGGTGCATGGTCCAAGGAAGCGGAAAGCAGATTGTTGACTTTGCTCAAGAAGCCTAAAATGGTGCGGCCACCCGCCGCATGCATGATCGCATATATGTCGCAGGTTGAATGACCTAATTGCAAGGACTTGAGAGCAGTGATTCGGTTCGGTTCGTCTAAGGTCTGTGCTTTGGAGGACAAGAAGGACACATCGCCGTTGGCCTTGCCATCGACTTCAGCCACATAACTGCGTATAGTTACAGCTGAGAACTGAGGAGACTGGAGTGAGCAGTGATTCGGTAGTTTTCGGAGACTTCGATATCCGCCACGGTCTTGGAACCAATATCTAAGGACCTTGCTTTAGCTGCTGCAGCGTGTACGACATCGTCATCTTCGGATTCTTCTTCCACGAGCTCCTCGGGGTCATCTTCGGAATCTTCGGACGCAGGCGATGAGCCAGGGCCCAATCAAGGCATCATGGCAGAAGCAGATGACACGCGTGAGGGTACTCCGAATCCTGCACTGGGTCCTCCCAAGGACGTAGAAACCGATTTCGGGACCGAATCCTGCACTGGGCCCTGCCAAGGACGTAGAAACGGACTTCTCAGACGCAGATGTGGTTGAACCACTTGCAAAATGTGCCAAATGTGAGCGATATTTGCAACTCCAGTATGATTTTGATTCGCTTGCAGATTCCCACCAAACCATTTCCGATGCCCTCGAAGTTGCTGAAGAAGAGAACAAGCAGCTGAAGGCGCTGCTGTTCGGGCAGCAGGGCCAAAGTGGGAGGTGAATGTTTGCTTGAGCTTTGCGGCCGGCGCAAAAATGATGCTCATGACTCATTACAGTAGACTGTTTGTGCAAAGGTAAACTATAAACCATGTACAACTTCAGATTTGCTGCTCATTGTTCAGACTTGAGATTCTCTGTTCAGACTCGAGATTCACTGTTCAGATTTGAGATCAGACATGCGTTATCACATAACTCTTCCAATTCACAAGCCGTAGTACTTGTATCTGTCCTCTGCTGACTCATGTGCACCTTGTCCTCATTAAATTCATGTTCGCAATATGTTCTGCTCTGCATAGCTCTCGTGGCGGTCTTGGCATCCTAACATCTGCTTCCTCAGGCTATGGCTGCCTTTGTCGACGAGGCCATGAAGGAGTATGGCGGCAAGGAGTGGCAATATGACATGCAGACAGCGCCATGTTACACCATCAAGCATACGACGGACATTGAGGCCCCTTTGACTGTCGCAGATCTTCTGAGATGCTGTCGCCCACCAGCAGGCGTCGAAAGCGCAAACCTGCTTCTAGATGTGCGTCTCTCCATAGCAGATTGTGGAACTCCTGAGAACATTGCCTCGGCTGTGCAAAACCAACGAGTCGACGAGCTACCTGCCGCTTTACAATTTGCAGAACCTTTGCCAGAACAAACCAAACTTGGATGCATTGTGGCTGCAGATGGCCATGGGCGCCTAGATGTGATCAAGATCATCTTCATCTTACCTTCCATCGTCAAGGGCCTTGGGCTGTCAGGAAGGCATTCCAGTCCTTGCTCGATAGAGTGCCAGGACATCATGTGCAGTGGGCCAAAGTGTGCCGGAAAGTGAAAGTCTCTACCAAATCTATCACAACGGCCCCTACGTGGGCTCCTGATGATACAGAGTTGCTGCAAGGTATCTCTTTCATCAACGAGAACGCCCCGGAGTCCGATGCCCATAACGAACAGTACGCCTGTATCTTGATGAACATCAAAGAAGACTCAGACAGTCCCATTGCAGGCTGGCCGGAAGGCAAAGTGAGAATCATGGCACAGAACAAGACGAGGGGCGTGAGTGGTGCTACCTTGCAGCGGGAATTCCCATTGACTACCTTCTCTCTCAAGCCCATGCTGTCCGATACAATCTTGCCAGCGCTGTACCCTCTCTTTGTATGCTATGGAGTCTTGCGCCTTGGATGGCTTGGTGTGGGTAAGACCCCGGCATTGATTGCTATGCTGTTGGCAATGGGTCGGTACCACATACACCGGCTGCAAGAAGGTGTTCCTGGATGGCGGCGGGCTAAATCTCTAGACAACTTCAGGCAGTACATTGGCCATGTCTATGAAGGGATCTTCCTGGACGATCCAAACCGCGAAAGCATTTCCAAGGCCGACTTCAAATCCTTCTTCACAGTGTAGGAGGAGCAAACTACATCTGGTCGCTACAATGACTCCAAGTTGCCTCGCAATTGCATGCGCACCTATGCGGCCAATGATCTGGATCGAGAGGATGAGCCTGCGGATGACAACCGTACTTCCATCACAGGTGAAGAGTTCCTGAAGCTCACCCGTCGCATCTTTGCCGGCGACAGACTTGCTGATGTACTGGCCTGCTTGAAGAGGGCTGTCGTCATCATCCTGGGCCAGCATGCCATGTACCTTCGTCTGCCCAGCCAAGATTCTAGAGCCACAGTGCATCGCATCAAGGTGGATGACCTTCATAAGGATCTCTTGTCTGAGAAAGACAAGCCTTTATACTCCAAGTACAAGTTAGGCATCATGGAGCATGGGCCCGAATGGCAGGCGCGTGAAGTGCGTATGATTTCAGCTGGCGTGGAGAAGTTTGCGGCCGGCAGGCCAGAAGCCTACATTGCAGCTGTGAATGGAGAAATCGAAGAACAGCTCATAGCTCGTCTACCTCGACTTTGCCTACCCAACAAGGAAGTTGACTCGTCATCAGACCAGGAAAACGTTTTACCAAGTCCTCCTGTCATGGTGCCTAACCCGGAGGCACGTTGCAATCGGCTGGGTCGATTCAAGCTGCCCCCAGCCAAACGGTACAGAGGCAAAACCACTCAGAGGGGAGAGCCATCCAATGAGCCACCCAATCCGGTTCCTGAGCCCAAGAGAGAAGAGCCACCCAATCCGGTTCCGGAGCCCTCGCATGATTTGTCAGTGGAACGGCAAGCCCAAAGTGCTCACAGTGCAGAGGATGTTGAAATGGAGGCAGCGCTCGAAGAACTCATCGACTACATGCCGCGTGAAGATGAGGTGGAAGAAAATCCATTCCAGCATAGTCCGTTCCGATGAGAGAAGCCTGATCCAATCATTTCTGCATAGAAACACTTTCACGCGAATGGGGTCGTGTGCATGTGTCATGTGAGCATCCAGACATTGCGCTGCTCGTAAAAAGGCTCGCTGTGCGTGTGCTGACTGTGTCTGTCTAGATTCTCTGCTGCGTTGTGTTTCTGTCTTGCATTATCACCCTTGGGGTTCATTCTTGCAGCTGCGCAATAAAATCGGTCCCGTGGTAGTCTCTCCTGTAGTCTACCCCGTGAAGCCATACCTGGCGCCATTGCTTCTGTGACCGTATGGTTGCAAAGTGGAACAACCTTCCAGTCCCAAAGAAAGGCAAGCTCCGTTCCGTGCCGCGGCAGGACTGGGAAAAGGTCCCGTATGTTCGAGGCTCGGCTTCTCCACTTCTTCGCCATGATCGCTGCAAATGGAAGAGATCCTAGACGGAGATTTTGACAGCGTCCCCAGCATCTTTCGTGGCAATGCTTCGAGAAGATGGCCTTCTTCATTCTTGGGAAGGGTCTATATGCCCTCACTGCCAAGAAGGGACTCTTGGGAAGCTGATGGCTGGTGGACTGAAACATCGATGCTCTTCCCGGAAGTGCCGCAAGTTTGTGAACCCACACCAGAACCATCCTCTTTTTGTGAACCGCTGGGGCTCTTCGTCTACGCCACTGGCTACCCATGCAGCCCTTCTTCTACTTCTACTCAATCGCATTCCTCACGCCGCAGTTCATCGTCTTCTACACATCAACCACAAAACCATTGAAGATATGAGCAAGAGATTGGGCCAGTTGCGGGAATCCTGGGTTGTCAAGGCTGAGAAAAAGATTCGCTGTGGCACTGGTGTGAAATCGGCTGACGTAGAAGCGGACGAGGCAACCTTCGACAAAAAGATGGAAAAGAGACAGCTACACTGGGAGCAATGGTGTGGGATAGTTCAGCGAGGAAAGCCTGATACACTTGTGCTGCACCGCCACAAACCTCCAGCCTCAAAACTCCGAGCGCCTGGGCCTGGAGCCGTTTGCAAGGTTGAATGGGAACCTCTGGCTGCAAAGTGGCTGCAAGATCGGCAAATCATTCTCCATACAGATTCTGCCAAAAGCTATGCCACCAGTGTCTCTGGAGTCCTGCGCGACCGAGTCGTACACAAGAAGAAGAGAGTCAAAGTGAACGGGAAGTTCAGGTGGGTGGCTCCGACGTATGTGCAGATCCACAAGCACAAGGTTCCTGGCAGCAAGACGTCTGTAAAGGTGAAGTCAGGCACCCAAATCATCGACCGCTGCGGGCGCTATCTAAAGGATAGGTTGAACATCAACCAGCACTCCAAAGTGGGAAGCGGTTTCTTGCGCACGCAATTACGGTCAGCTCAATATGAGTATTGGCTGAGGGGTCAAGACCTTTGGACCGCAACTGGTTCATTGGCCCAATGGTTCATGTCAGAGTCCTAGCGCAACGAAACAAGGAAAAATGTGTGTGAGGGTTTTCGTCTATGTATGCATCTTGCTGCTCCAACACTGTCTGCATCTTGCTTCTCTAACATTGGTCCCTGTCTTCTCTTTGTCTGCTTCGCCTGTTGGATTCCAATGACTTCAGGCAACTTTTCCCCTACAGGATCTACACTTGGCTTCTTCATTTCCAATTGCATCCAAAACCGTTTCCTTGCATCCGATGCACTTCTGCTTCCGTTTTTCTCAAATACGTCTTGGAAACACCATCAAATGTGGATCTCAGGGGGGGGGGCTAGCATATATATATATATACATGTTTCACAAGAAAGAAAGGACAACGCGCACAGAAAACAAACGACAAACAACACCGGGTTCGCATCCGATTATCTGAAATATAGCATTCCAACCTATTAGCGACGGCCTCCAACCTAAAAGCGGTGGCCTCCAAATGACAACATTTTCTGAATTATTCCAATACTAATTCTAATAGCTTCTTGTTACTACTAGTAAGGCACTTGTTACTAGTAGCGATGCACTTGTTTCTAATTGCTTCTTGTTTCGACATCAAGAGCCTGAGGCGAAGATCTCACAGCCTTGCCGTGTGCAACAGATATTTGTCCTTCGGTCAGGATCTGAGAAACTCTTTAGACTGCAAACTCAACGGCTGTTATTTTGGTTAATAATTACTGTATTGTTTTTCTTATGCATGTCTTTGTTTCTGTCTTTTTTCGTTAGACCTTTAGATCTGTTTTTTTTCCTTTTTCTTGCAAGATTTCTGGGAACAGTGCCATTCCGCCCCTCCTGTTGCCTAGGTTTGGCATTCAGAATGTGTTCGCAAATGGCTATGCCAAGGGTGGTCCCTGCTTGACTTTCAGATGTTAGGTTCATCAGGCTCATCAGGCTTAGGTTTAGTTGCTTTCTGTTCAAGTGCAGCGTTTCAACAACCTCGCAGGCAGACTCCCACTTGCCCACTCTGCCGTTCTGCCATGGAAGTGGGCCAATCCAGCTACTCGGTTGCTTCTCGAGGTCAGGTCGCGACTGTCCAAACTGGCTGTTTTTTCGTTTTCAGAGCTTTAGAAATTAGAGCTTTTTCATCGCACCCAAATAGATAGAAACATATAGAAACGCAATCGAATACATTTTGACAGGGATTGCCTATCTATTTGGGGGTCTATATATTATCTTTGTTTTTAGGGACCTTTAAAACCTTTAATTAGACAGTATCTTTCTTCCTTTCAAATGACCCTGACCTTCCAAACTTCGTGATATTCTTGCTGAGGCGCCAGTGCGCAAAGTCCGAGTCCCTCTTTTGCCCTCGAGGCACAGCGGGCTTAACCCATACCGATGGCCTCCAACCTAGCGATGGCCTCCAACCTAAGAGCAATCGCCTCCAACCTAGTAGCGATGGCCTCCAACCTAGTAGCGATGGCCTCCAACCTAGTGGCAATGGCCTCCAACCTAGTAGCGATGGCCTCCAACCTACTAGCGATGGCCTCCAACCATGGCCTCCAACCTACTAGCAATGGCCTCCAACCTACTAGCAATGGCCTCCAATCTACTAGCGATGGCCTCAAACCTACTATAGCCATGGCCTCCAACCTACTATAGCGATGGCCTCCAGCCTACTAGCAATGGCCTCCAACCTACTAGCAATGGCCTCCAATCTACTAGCGATGGCCTCAAACCTACTATAGCCATGGCCTCCAACCTACTATAGCGATGGCCTCCAACCTCTATAGCGATGCCCTCCAACCTACTAGGCTGCCAACCTACTAGCGATGGCCTCCAACCTAAGAGCGCTGGCCTCCACCCTACTAGCGATGGGCTCCAACCTACTACCGATGGCCTTGAAGCCTAACAGGGATGGCCTCCAACCTACTAGCGATGGCCTCCAAGCTACTAGCGATGGCCTCCTCCAACCTAAGAACGATATGGCATCCAACCTAACAGCGATGGCCTCCAACCTACTAGCGATGGCCTCCAACCCAACAGCGATGGCCTCCAACCTAATAGCGATGGCCTCCAACCTACTAGCGGTGGCCTCCAACCTATAAGAGCGATGGCCTCCAACCTACTAGCGTTGGCCTCCAACCTTTTGGCGATGGCCTCCAACCTACTAGTGATGGCCTCCAACCTTTTAGCGATGGTCTATCGTAAGTTGAAGGTTCTCACTGAACTAAAAGTGGAGTTGTGAAAGGTCAGAGCTGCCTTGCCCCTCTCTGCCACGTCAGGTCGGCTGTAGCATCAAGTGACTCAGGTGTGTTTGATTGAATGTGATACTCTTGGCTCTTTGCCAGGTTTGCAAGCTGCCTTCTCTTCAGGCTAAGCCTCGAAGATTAGCTGACAGTGTTACATACCTCCACTCGCGAAGTTCATGAGAAGCCAACACGGAAAGAAACACAGAAGGTGTTTGGGCCTCTTCAATAAGGCCATTTTAAGGGTGGCCTTATAAAAATGGATGCCCAAACCACCGTTCTTTGGACGATCCAGGCCGCGGCGGTACCTCGAACCAACTTTTGCAGCAGCTGGGACAGGCCGATGAAACCGTAATGAAACTGATTTCTGTTGCACTGTGATTTAGCTGGTTTAGCTTAGCTGTGTGGTTTTGATTCGGTTTTCCACCAGTTGAACACGACACCGATCTCGGCTCGGTACGAGGTGATCATTCAAGACATCCTACTTTTGACACTGTCGCAGCACACCGCAGGCCGTACACAGATTCGGACCCAGGACCCATCAAACCCGCAGAAGTAAGACGAGAGGTAGACATGCGGCTTCAGGGGGTGGCCATCGGGTTAAAGGCCTTGCATGTGAAGGAAGAGTTGGAGGAGTTGAAGGAGTTCATGTTTTTTTCACCAAACAGTTTAGTGTTAGGGGTTCTCAATTCTTTCTTAAGATGTGTCCGCCCTTCTGTCATTGCTGGTGTCCGCGCTTTTCCGCTGGCCATGCAGCATTTCTATTCATTTCTCTCCCATGTGATTTCTTTACTTTTGTCTCCCAGGTTCGGTCATTGTCTCCACTTTGTTTTGCTTCTGTCTCTCTTTGTCTCCGGTCTTGTTTCCTTCTTGTTGGTCACTCTGTCCGCCTTGTCTCCCTTCTTGTTGCGCAGTGCCATGCCAACCTCTGCCTTGCAACCCTTCACATTTGTCTCCCAGCTCTGGACTGCTCTGCCCTGCAATCCATTACATTTGTCTCCCAGCTCTCGGCTGCTGTGTCCGCCTGTGCCTTGCAATCCTTTACACTTGTCCTCGCAATCCTTTGCATTTGTCTCCCAGCTCTAGACTGCTGTATCTGCCTCTGCCTTGCAATCCTTTATTTATCTTTATTTGTCTCCCAGCTCTGGGCTGCATGTCGCTTGCAATCCTTTACATTTGCCTTCCTGTCTCTACATTTATCTCCTAGCTCTGGACTGCTGTGGCCGCCTCTGCCTTGCAATCCTTTGTCTCCCAGCTCTGGACGTCGCAAGCTCTAGTTGCAGAGAGTTCCGATTGTGAAAAGCACAAACTGTTTGGGGTCTACGATGGTGTATTTTTTTCAGGTTTTGCCCTGGAAGGCCTATCAGGCATAGTTGGCAACACGCCATCCCTTCCACACTTGGCCAGCTCAGGGTCCACTCCTCAGAATGTTGCGGAGTTCTGCGGTGCAATGATTAGAACAAAGGCACTAGTTAGGCCATGGATATCCTTAGGGGACGCCACTGGTTCTTCCCACCAAGAACCCAAAAGTTCACTGCAAGATGTTGGAAAGATGAAACAATGGGAAGTTCAGTTTCCCCCCAAAATGGGAACCAAATGATTAGCGTGATCTATCCTGCGTCCCGATACTAGAAACTAACTAGCTTAATTAAGCCGGCGCCTACTTACATAAGTACGGAGACAGGCCCTTTGACGACAGACCCATCCCCCACCAGGCACCCTGCCCACCTTCACTTTGAGGCTCTTGAACGGAGCCACAGCTGATGCGTCCTCTGCGCTGGCAGACCTGGGAGGTGCTGAGCAGTGGCGGACCGGATTTCATGGTGCGACCCACTTCTATTGAATATATATGAAGATATAATATATATATAAATTGTTTAAAACGTAGAACAATGTTCTAAATACATATAACTATATATATATATATCTTTTCGTATATGTTTTTTCTCATTGTTTTTTCTTACAACCCTCAGACATGAAGCCGTACGCCTTTCTTTTTTTAAACATCAATTTTCTTGACTTGTTGATGGTTGGGGCCATGTTACGGTCCATTTTCTCCTCCGTGCCTCATGCAGGCTTGTTGCTGCAGACCTTGACCACAAATGGAACATTGCCAGTCACTTTGAGCGCGGTGGAGACCTGGGGACCAGGCGCCAGTGAATGCTTCAGTGAATGAACCAGCTTTTGTGTTTCTCAGAGTTACTCATAGCAATGGCCTCCAACCTAGTAGCGATGGCCTCCAACCCAATAGCTTCAGGAATTGGAAAAAACACGGAGTTGATCTCCCCTGTCAGCTGGAGAAAGCAGAAGCCCTGGCCTTTTGCCAGGAACCAGCCGGGACAGCCCGACACATGCATCGAATAGTGTGCCAAAGTCTGAGAAGATCCCAGAATTTGTGACTAAATCTGACGGTCTAAAGGTTAGGTTTCCGTAAAAATCTAGGAAACAAATGATTAGTGCAAGCGTGAGCTATCTTGCGTCCTAGCTAGGAGCGAACAAGTTGCTAGCAGCGAACCTCTCCCTTACTTAATAGCCGCCTACTTGATTAAGTAGGAGCGGGCTAGTAGGCTGGAGGCTGAGTAGGTACCTACTTGATTGAGGAGCGTGCTACTAGGAGCAAGATGCTACTAGGAGCAAAGGGCATCGCTACTAGGAGCAAGAACGCTACTAGGAGCGCAAGGACGCTACTAGGAACAAGAAGCTATTAGGAACAAGAAGCTATTAGGAACAAGTGCATCGCTACTAATAACAAGTGCCTTACTAGTAGGA